TCCTGGTTTCTAAAATGTTGAGCAGAACCAAGGTACAAACCATTATAAGAGCAAGTGAAGAGCTGTATACCTTGGCAAGAGAGAAGGACGTCATATCTGTCTCTGAACAAATCAACTGTGCCTGTGGAATGGTCAGTCTTGAGATGGATCTCCCAAGATGCACCTCCAGCTCACTCTCCTTAAAAGACTCCAACATCTTAGTGAGCTTATGACGCTGCAATCCACAAGGGGCTATATCAATGCAACTCCTTGAGAACGTAGTAGGTTTTCATTTGTCTTTTGTTTTTTCTTTCTTTCTTTTTCTGTTCAGGTGAGTAAAATAAATTTCATTGCCTGTGTCAGGAACTGAACCATACACTGGAATTATAGAAATAAATAAACTGCGAATCCTTCGTGCAGAGGGTTCACAGTATATTATGATCATAATGCCTTATTTCTGTCCTCATTTACTGAAACTCTCCATTCTACCTTCCAAAAAAGAAAGACAACTAACATGACCACTTTGTCATGAGTGCTACTTCTTGAGAGAGGCCTTGTTTTAAAATAGTAGTAGGTAGTACCAGTAGCATAGAAAAAGTCCACGAAAATGCATATTATGAAAAAAAATCTTTGCATTGATTTCAAAAAAATACATAGCACCAAAAAATAAATAAATAAATGTAAAAATAATATATATATTAACTTAAAAAATTGCACCAAAATAAGATCATACTTTACCACAATTTTTCAAAAATTTTAAAAATTACTCATGTATATGTATAAGCATTAAAACCTTATGAGATAGATACTATAATTATCCTAATTTTACAATTGAGGAAACTAAGGTGTAAACAAGTTACACAAACTTGTCATATAGTGGATCAGTGATGGATACAGAATTGAAACATGGCTCCAGAACCCATGCTCTTAACCACCATTCTGTGTTGCTTGATATAGCCAGAAATTCATATCTGTAAAGCACTCTCAATTCCATAAAGTATATTTTGAGCTCATGAGAGGTTTCCAAAGCTCAGGAGGCAGGATGATCTCCAAGAATCCCTTAAGTTTAGTATTAAAAATTAAATGGGACTTGCTCTGTGTTGTTGTGGCTAAGGCATCTGGATCCCACATGGCCAACCATGCAGTTCAAGTCTTGGACCTGGCAGCTTGGGAAACATGGTAGATGGGTGTACATGCATGCCCTAAATCCCAAAAGGAGAGAGAAGTACAGAAGAAAGGATCGTGACATGACCCACTCCCACGGGGAGTGCTTTTTCCTCTCCCTCTCTGTCTCTCTCCAGCAAGTGCACACATTCTCTAGCGAAAAAGAAAGAAGGATAGAAAGGGAAAAGAAAGAAAGAGAGAGAGAAGAAATAAAGAAGATGAAAAAAAGAAGAAAGAAAGTTAAATGAAAGAATGAAAAAGAAAATTCTTTGAAGCCTCTTGGGAAGCAAGCTCTGGCATGCTAGGTAGGATAAAGAAAGCCTTTTGGGGGAAATCTGTGTGAGGAAAAGCCATGAAGTGTGGCCAAAATATTTCTTAAAAGATGTTCTTAAAAACTGTGAATATATGTGTGTGTATTTTCACATATGTCTAGTTAGTTTAGGAAGATGATGGCCTGACAGTGCTAAAACACTGAATTATTCAGTTAAAAATATATGATTAGCCTGGTGAGACTCATTTAAATCATGTAAATACAAAAATGTGTTGTTTTCCTGTGATTTACACTGGCATTTGTTTTGAGATCTTTAGGGTTATAAGATGGTGAGGACTATAAGCCAAACTAAGGCTTTAAGATTAAATGTGTTGAGACCAGCAGTTGACGTAATGGCTATGTCACTGGACTCCCATATAGTCGACTGCAGTTTGAGTCCCAGACCCAGTGGCTTAAACTCATGCTGGGCACATGTGCATGTGTGCCCAAGATCCCGAGAGGAGAATGCAGGAGAAGGGATTGCAGTATGGTCATCTGCCCTGGGGGGTGATTTCTTGCTTTCTGTCTCTCTGTCTCTCTTTGTCTTTTGGGAGAGTGCACATGCCCATAGCAAAAACCTCTCAAAACAAAGCAAAACAAAAGATTAAATGTGTTGGGCTTAGCAGGCAGCATGGTGGTTAACACACTAGATTCCCACCGGCTGACTGCTGTCTGAGTTCCAGACCTAGTGACTTTAAAATCACCCTGGGACATGTGCACGTGTGCCCAAAATCCCAAGAGGAGAATAGAGAAGGGATTGTGGTGTGGCCATCTGTCTAGAGAGGTGATTTCTCACTTTCCCTCTCTCTATCTCTCCCTAGTGAGTGCACATGCCCTATGGCAAAAACTTTTTTTAAAAAAAGAAGAGATGAAATATGTTGTCATTCTAGTGTAAAACGTTAGTACCCTTTGAAAAAGTGTATGCCTTGAAAATTCCATCCTTGCAATACTATGAGGAAGCTAGAGTTGTGGTGCCACTAGTGTCTAAAGGGCAGATCAACTGACTGCTGCCTTAGTCTTGGTCTAATAACTACTCCAAGCACTCTTATTCCCTTCATATTAGTTCCAGTTTCTCCTTACAAACCTATGAGTATCTATAAAACAAAAGAGAACCTTCTCAGTTTTATTAGGGACAGCCAAGGTTCTCCTTGTAGTGTCTCTCTTTTAAGTAGAAACAGGCCAGCTGGTAATGTGGTGGTTAAAGTGGTGGGATCCCATATTGCTGACTGTGTGGTTCAGGTCCTGGACCCACAGCTTGAAAAATACACTAGATATGTGTGTGTGCATCCCCAAAATCCCGGGAAGAGAATGAAGGAAGGATTGTGGCATCACCATCCCTCCTGGGGGTGCTTTCTTACTTTCTCTCTCTGTGTTTCTCTCCAGCGAACACACATGTTCTATAGCAATTTTTTTTTAAATAGTAAAAATATCTTTAGTTAGGAATTGCAGAACAGCTAAGTGTATTTTCAACTCACTCTTGGTTCTGATTCTATTCTGATCCCCCTTATTCTGCACCAGGATTTTTTTGAGGATCCTATTAAAATCTCCTCCTCTTGTCCAAAAAGTTCATCTGCCTTCTGAGATTTTAGAGTCTGTCCTAGCTAAAGAATCCAGAAAGATTACTAAGATGATCCTTCCTATTACCCAGTGCCTAAGACCAACCTTTCCATCCACAGCCTGCTCTCACCAAGGCCTTATACTTGCCTCATGTGCCTGCAATATTATACTCTAAATATCCCAAATCCTGATTTGTGCCTAGAATATAATCAGGATATTACAGGATATTCAGGTAAAGAATATCTTGACTTCTATAATGAGCTTGTCTATGATAGCATTTGTCCTTGATTGAAGTAGATCAAACAAAGTAGATCAAAATCTAGATGGATGGAAAAGGGTGAAAACACTATTTTTTCCCAGTTCTAAAATAATCTCCACTTCCTTCCTTCACCATATCATTGTTTCTCCATGCAAAGAGTAAATTGTAGGGCTAAAAAAATAAGATGTTGAAATTCATTTCTGAACTACAGTGCATTAAGAAAAATGAACACCTCGAGATAGTCTCTGTTGATATCATAAGCTTTTTACCCTCAAACATTTACTTCCTTCTGCCAATTCAACATAGTTTTAGACTCAATTTCTTAACTTCGTATAAGGCATAAAGCCAGATAATAGGCAATAACTCACTCAAAAACATGTATTGAACTCATATTTTGTACTGTGTCAGGTGATGAAATTAAGCCAGTGCATGTGATGGTCTTCCTTCTTCCCTCCTAGGGCTTAAAATTTAGTAAGAGTGCAGAAACTACACTTTTCACACATATTTGATAAGGACCATGCATGAAAAGTTCAGAGTGCTATAAACAATAATAACCAAGAGATCCGATTTAGATCTTTGTGGGGATCAACATTAGGAAAGGCTTTTCTAAAGCAGTTTCTTTTAAGTTGAGATACAAAGAATAGCCAGGAGTTGAGATATAAAGAATAGCCAAATAAAGAAGGATAGAAAGAGTATTTCCAGCAGAAAGAATAAAATATGCAATATCCCTGAGGTGAGAAGAAGCGTGGAGTAGTACTTAAAAAAAAGTATGGCTGGAATATGGTAGGCCCTAGAAGAGACAGTGCAACATAAGATTGGGGCTAGATTATTTAGAGTATTCTAGGTTATAGTAAATGAGTTAAATTTCATTTCAAGTACAATTGGAAGTCCCCAAACGAGTTTTACATGTGGGAAGGACGGATAAATAATTATGTATGCTTGTTAAATATGATTCTGGTCTCTGTGACTATATGGAAACAGGGAGACCTATTAGGCGGCTCATGTATTAGTCCAGTTTAAAGATGAAGTTGACTCTGACTAGATAAGATTTGTAGATAGATTTGAATTATATGTAGAAGGAAAAGCCAATAGGACTTGGTGATTAATTGAATGCACAGGGTAAGGAAGAAGTGAGAGTGAACTGGACACAAATTTAAATAATCTACTTGAGTCAGCAGAAGACAAATATTCACAGTGGAAAAGGACAACGAATGATTCCATGATTCAGGGATCTGATTAAATTTGAGCAGTAAAGCAGTACATTTCTTTAAGGTGGTGTTCAAAGCACATTACAGGTAGTGTCCACCCCAGCTCTCATTTTGTAGATGAAGGAATTAATATGTACAAAGCATTCTGGTACTTTGTAAATTAATCTTGTGCTATATAGAAATGCTCTATCATCCAAATTAGAATGTAAACTTCCAAACATCACTTCTTTTGTAGACATCACCTTCTAATAGTACTTGATACAGGGACAAAAAAAAAGAAAAAAGAAAAAAAAGAAAGAAAGAGAGAGAGAGGAGAGAGAGAGAGAGTGGGAAAGAAAGAGAAAGAGAAAGAAAAAGAAAGAACAAAAGAAAGAAAGAAAGAAAGAAAGAAAGAAAGAAAGAAAGAAAGAAAGAAAGAAAGAAAGAAAGAAAGAAAGAGCAAATACTCAATATACTCAGTAAATGTTTCCCAAATTGAAATAAACTGAATTTCTTCTTCTTCTTTCTCAGCAGATAGATCAAAATGGATATTTTGATTACTGATAATGGCAGCGAAGTGACAGAGTTCATCTTAGTGGGTTTATCAAATCATCCAAAATCCCAGATTGCCTTTTATTGCACCATAGTAGTAGTCTACCTGATCACATTGATGGGTAACTGTCTAATTATCATTTTGGTTAGAGTTGATAGGCAGCTTCACACCCCTATGTATTTTTTCTTAAGCAACTTGTCCTTTCTCGATATCTGCTACTCCAGCAATTCAGTACCTTTTGTTTTGTCCATTGGCTTAAGAGACTACCCCACGATTTCTTATAATAGCTGTTATGCCCAGATGACTATTGCTCTTTTTCTGGGGATGACAGAGTGTCTTCTCCTTGCTGTCATGGCTTATGACAGGTTTGTTGCGATCTCCAATCCCCTACGTTATGTTATCATCATGAACAGTCGGGTCTGCATGCAGTTGGCCTTGGGAACCTGGACCTGTGCCTTCTTAGTAGCAGTCACACCAATTATTGCAATTCCTGCTCGATATTGTGGACACAACGTTATAAACCATTTCACCTGTGAGGTCCAGGCCCTGTTGAAGCTTGTCTGCTCTGACACCCCTGTGAGTCTGATTCTGGGTTTGGTTATCGCCATGTTCACACTGCCCCTGCCCTTCACCTTCATCCTCATTTCCTACTTGCGCATTGTGGTTGCCGTGCTGAAGATCCATTCTGCAGAAGCCAGGCTCAAAGCTTTCTCCACCTGTGGCTCTCACCTAACTGGGGTGACCATATTTTATGGGACAGCCATCTACATGTACTTGAAGCCTCAGTCAAAGGAATCTGAAGAACAGAATAAAATCATCTCTGTATTTTATGGCGTTTTGACCCCTATGCTGAACCCCCTTATTTACACCTTGAGAAACAAGGATGTGAAAAATGCAATAAGAAAAATAATTAGAAAGAAAGAGTCCTTAAAAAAAATGTAAATATTCCATGGAGTCTCTCCATATTTTAGTAGGATAATTAGATGTAAGTTATTATTTTTCTATTTCAATAGGCATGCAAAATAGAACTACCTCCACTGAGAAAAAGATGTTGAACTTTTTAAATGCCATCATTTAAGAAATAAATTACACAGGATGATATTGAGGAAGACTTTTTTAAATTGAATAATAATGAATACGATTTAACCTTGAGTAGTTTTATTTTAGTTTACTAAATGGAAAATGTTTGAATATTATTTTTTAGATTTATTTAATTTCATGCATTATCAATATTTTTTTTAATTTGACCAGAGAGAGATAGAGAAAGGAAAAGTGGGAAAGCAGGTTGCCGGGTCCAGGACTTAAATCGTGGTCAACCATGTGGAAGTCCAGTGCCTCAACCACCATGCTACCTGCCAACCCCAACATTTCAATATTATAAAATTCTCTTTTTATAGGAGATAAAAAGCAAAGTCAGACAATGTGCAATCCCTTTTAATTTTTTTCCTTAATTCATAATATCATAATATAGCACATGTCCATATGAAAGAGAGGGGAGAGAGAGAGAGAAAGAGAGAGACACCCTCCATGATATCTGGCCATGCCACATTCCCTTTCCTCCAGTCCTCCAGCCCATCAGATCTTCGGAATTCATGTGGAGGCCCAGTGTGTCTCAGACTGACAAGGCCAGGGATTCAAGCAGTGGTTGATTTTCAGACCACCAGGGCTGGGATTTGAACCACAAAAGGCCATGTAGGAGTCCAGCACCTTAACCACCATACTACCTGCTGGCCCCCCAAATTGGGAAATTCTTATCTCAGTCTTCTTTGTACAAGATATGTCATGGTCTGGGCTTTGACGTGATGGATGTAAGTAGGTTGAGAGAGGAAAATTACTCAAGGATTCCACACAGAAGGCCCTCCACTGAGGCAAGGAGCCCTTAAAGACTGTGTACATTCTGAGATCTGTTTTTGACAACCGTATACAACATGAAATTGTAGAGGGTGAATGAAATAATCACTCAATAAAACTTGTGTAAGTTTTAGAATCAGACAGACATGTATTCAAGTCTGCCACTCAAAATTGGGTGGAAGTTAGCTAGTTACCTTCCATCTTATAGCTTCAGTTTTCTCATTTGTAAAATGGGGATTATAAAAGTGCCTACCTTTAAAAATTGTTTTGAAAATTAAATAAGATAATACATGCAAAATTTCTACCACAATATCTAGCATACAATGGACACTGAATAACTGTCATCCAAAAAGAGAAACCCATCGCTTCTTTGATATCCGTATGAGTGGTTATTTGCCTATGGTTATACCAATAATGACTGTATCATTTAAAAATAATTTAAGACAATATGAACAATTTAAAAATTATGTTCTCATTTTTTTTTGAGAGGTTTTTGCCATAGGGTGAGAAATCACCCCCCAGGGAGAATGGCCACACCACAATCCCTTCTCTTCCATTCTCCTCTCGGGATCTTGGGCACACACGCTCGCACACATGCCTGGCGTGAGTTTAAGCCACTGGATCCGGGATTTGAACGGGAGTTGGCTATATGGGAGTTCAGCAACATAGCCATTACGCTAACTGCTAGTCCCTATGTTCTCATTTTTATCTTAACTGGAATTTATCTCATTAGAAATGAAGTTGAAAGTATTTCTCATGTTCATTGGTCATTTGTATCTAAAGAGTCCAGGTCTTTCCAACTAGGTCAAAATGATGATGAACCTTTCCGATTCTGGAACATTAAAATTCTGCACTGGGAGATAGATGACTAAACAAAAAGGCTCCAGACTCAGTTCAACCTTGCTTGACCCCAAGCATTGCTTCCAGATTCACCAACGGGTAGATTACCAGTTTGATCCATTCTTTTCACTCTGGTAAGCACTCTCGGAATTAATTTCATTGGTCAACAACAGAAGCCAACTGGAGACAACTGTAAATTCTCATTTTCTCAAATGGATATTAGAAAACCATGAGATCACCAAAAGAGAACCTTTTAGAAAGAGAATTTACAGTGTCATGCAAATTCAATGTAAGCTTACCATTTTAACCTTGCGTAATTTTAATTCCTGTTTTTTATTAATCCTTCTCATTTAATGTAAAGTGCTCCTGAAACTAGAGGAAATATACTCTTAACTATCGAGGCACAGTGAAGAGATAAAATCAAATACTAGAGAAGAAGACAAACATGATTCCTCAAATGGAAGGGGGAAAAAGTAAAACTACAAGTTAAACACTTATTAGAGTTTTATCATTTTCATTAGGGACTAAGAGGAAGTAGAGAAGAACAAGCAATGAGATGTGCCTTGTGCTGTCAGAGAGAAATTTATTGGGGGAAAAGCAGGGACCTTTTTAGCTGTATAAGAAAATAAGACAGAGAAACTCTTTTACCTTTTGATCACCTCAGGGGGAAGTTAGACAGGATTCTCTCTAGAGAGAGAAATATGCTACATCTTGAAGAGTACAAGCTCAGGGAGGTTTCTGACATGGAGTCAAGAGTCTGGATGAATAGAAAGCATAAGAGATTATAACAACTAATCAGTTAGAGGTACATGTGTTAGGTGCCTTTATGTTAAATGTTTAATGTGCAAGTTGCTATCTTCAAATCTTCCTTGTATTACTAAATGAACAGATTTGACTTGTAATAAACAGCAATACTTTGGAACTAGCCTTACGCCTTGGGAAACTTGTTTAAATTTCTTATCTCTGCCAAACAGAGCTTATTACTTGAAGCTGGTAATGGGCAGCTCTGCCTCTTTGCACACCATCTCCTCATAAGGTGTGCCAAAATCACAAGGCAACATCTTAGAAGGTTGAACTGACCCATTACAATCAACATCACTGAGAAAAGAGCTTCGTGCTGTGTACTGGAAGCAGCAGAGTGTAGAAAATGCACTTGAGAACCATAACCACAACTTTTCCTGGAAGTGTTGCACAGAAATTTAAAATCTGAAAAGACTGAGAATGTATCATTGGTTTTTCAGTGCGTTGTCAACAACTCCAGTGCTAAGTAGTAAGAAAATAAAAGTAATTACCTACAGAATGCTCCTTGAATTTCAACAAGGGATGAATGCAGAACTATTAAATCTACCCTTTTCATCACATGGAAAGGAGCACACTGAAAAGTGTTCATTTGTTACTGCAATTTTTTTTGTTATTGATTCAATCAGAATAATTACCAAATAAAATTTTCTAACACATTTGTGTCATGATCCTGCATGCCCATATCCACCTGCCCACATAAACACATAGACATTCACACAAAACCTTTATGGTCAGAAAGACCTGGATTTGGATTTGAATCCATACTTTTTGGATTCAAAAATACCACTTTTAAACTGTGCAATCTTAGGCAATTTATTTTTAACCTGCACCATTATCTTCTTCCGTGTAGTGGACAATATAACCATCTCTACTTCACAGGATTGCTGTGAGTATTGAATAAGATAAACCAGACAAAGCCCTTAGTTCAGTACTGGCAAATAGAAAGCACCCTGAAACATTAGCTGTTATTATCATAATCATCATTAGTATTATATAGATTTGGCACCAGAGATGCCTTATATTGAAACACTTGGTTTATTCTTTGTATTGTCCGAGGGTGCATGCACTCTTCAGAGAGAGAGAAAGATACAGAGACAAGGAGACAGAGAAGGAGAGGGAGAAAGAACCCACAAATAGGGCATGGTCACACTGCAATCCCTTCTCCTTTTCTCTGTCCTGTTGGGATGTGGGTACTCACACATAATTTCCCAGCTTGTACATCAAGATGTTAGGGTGAGTACTTGAACCATACTATCATCCATGTGAGAGCCAACTCCCTTAACCAATAGACCATGGGGCCAGCCCAAGACCTAGTTTATTCTGTGCTGTACACAAGGCTACCACATTTTTCTTGACTGAACCCATACTTGGAATTGTGCAGTGCATACATAGGTAGGTGTGTGTATCTGGACAAGAGTGCTCAAGAATATTTCATACCTTGTCTATTTTTGTTCCTTACTTCATTTATTTAACCAATATTTATTGAATATCCTGTATATGTTGGATAATTTGCTAGCACTGGGTATCTGTAGGAAAAAAGACAATGTTTCTGACCATAGCTACTATACATTTTAGTAGAAAGACAGCTATTAAAAATGTTATTACTTGTATAAGTAAAACAATTTGAAGAGCATAACATGTACTCTGCAGGAAACAATCAGGAAGCTGGAACCCAAAGTAATAGGGGGTACCTACTTTGGATAGGATTTTTAGATAAGCCTGTCCAAAAAAGTAAAATTTAAACTGAAATTGAAGGATCCACATTAAATTTTTAGGTTGAAGTTGGCAGAATGAGATGAGTATACTAGAAAGAAGGAAAAAAAACCACAAACACTGCAAAGAAATTTTAAAAATCCGACATGTGTAAGGAATAGAAAGGAAAGTGTAGAATCAGGTGACTAAGAGGTGTGGAGCCGAAATGTCATCCACTTCCTAATTCATCCATTCAACAATAACACAAACACACAAATGTATGTGCACGTGTGCATGAGTGCAAGCACACACCAAGAACATATTACGTGTGCCTGGTGTTGTTCTAGGCTTTGGGATACATCAATGAATAAAAATTTCTCCACATTCATGAGGCTTTTATTATTTTAGGGAGGAATGACATAAACCATAAAAACAAGCCATACATTTTTTAAAAATAAAATCAATATAAAGAAAAACAGGGTAGGGGCTTTGACTTTAAATTGGGTGATCAGGAAAGGCCTGAGAATTTGGAATTTGAGCGAAGAGAGGAAGAGTCATGTGAATATATGTAAGAACAATATTCTAGGCAAAGGCACTAAGGTAGAAGAATGCAAAATGTATTTGAAGAATATTGGAAAAGTCTGCATGACTAAAGAGTGTGAGCAAAAAAAAAAAAAAAGAAAAAAAGAAAAGAAAGAAAGAAAGAAAAAGAAGAAGAAGAAAGAAAAGCAGGAGATGAGCTCAATGAGAAACAAGGGACCAAATTGTGTAAAGAACTTTTAGAACATTGTAAGGGCTTTAGTTTTTTCTGTTAAAAAAAAAATAGAAACTTCATTGTGATACAATTCTTGTAACATAAAATTCACCATTTTTTAAGAATTTTTTATTTAGCTTTATTTATTTATTTTTAATTTAACCAGAGAAGGACAGAGTGAGAGAGAAAGAGAGGGAAAGTGAGAAAGCAAGCCTTCAGGTTCAGGACTCTAACCACAGTCAGCCATATGGAAGTCAGCGCCCGTAACCACCATGCCATCTACTGGCCCCAAAATTCACCATTTTAAATTGTACGTTTCAGTGTGATGTAGTACAGTGGTCCCCAACTATTTTGGCACCAGGGAGTGGTTTCATGGAAAATAATTTTTTCCAGACCGGTGGAGAGTGGTTGATAATTTTGGTATGATTGAAGCACATTATATTTATTGTACACTTTGTAATATATAATGAGATAATTATACAATTCCCCATAATGCAGTATTTGCAGCCACTCCCTAGTGCTAGCATCACCACCTCAGCTCTACCTCAGATCATCAGACATTAGAGCCTTATAAGGAGCACACAAACTAGATCCCTCGCATGTGCAAGTCACAATAGGATTCACATTTCATATGAGAATCTAGTACCACTGCTGACAGCAGGTGGAACTCAGGTGATAATGCAAGCAGTGGAAAGCAGCTGTAAATACAGATAAGGAAGGCTTCACTTGCTCACAGCAGCTCACCTCCTGTTGTGTGGGCCAGGTCCCTGATGTAGTACATTCACAAAGATGTGCAGTCTTTGAATTATAAATATTATCTATTCATCGGTTGTCACTGTATTTTCAGTAATAATAAGGCTTAGGTTGTAAAGACTGATGTGCCTGTAAAACTAAAGGAATAAGGGAACCCATGCCAAAACAATATATAAACTTTCCAATTCTTCCACATCCTTGTCTGTGCTTGTTATTGCTCATCTAGTTTATTTATAGCCATCCTAGTGAGTTGAAAGTGGTATCTCATGTTTTTTTGTGTGCATCTATCTAATAACGAATTATTTTGTTTATCTTTTTTATGGCTTATTTGCCATGTTGTATCTTCTTTTTTTCACTTTATTAAAATACTGAGCTTATTTCACATGTATATTTTTGTCTCTACACCAATTCCATGTCTGACCACCACCACTACTGTGTCCTATCATAACATTCCATACATCCTTAAAACCAAGCAAAGGATGGAGTTCCATCTTTAAAAACTAAACTGGCATTCTTGGCAATGGAGCCTGGACAACACTTATCAAACACGTAGGCAAAGTTCTCACTCTGCATTACAAAAAGGACAGTCAAATATCAACTGTTACAGAAATGAAATAAGAGAGAAATTTTTAAGAAACTGTTTAAACAATTTTTTTAAAGAGATTTCCTCCACTGCCAGAGATCTTGAATAGCCTCCTGGTTTGTCATCAGGAAGCAACTTTTGACATAATTGATAAACTTGGCTTCCACTTTGGGAAGAGAACCACCGTTTTCTATACTTTCTTGCATTTTTGTTTTAATATCTTCTACAGAATTAGGCCCTTTTAGTGTTTTAGGAGGGTTTTTCCTGTTTTTTGAATGATTCTTAACCTTTTGATCTTGGTGTTGATGGTTTTGAGTCTTTTCCATTCTGGTTTGATTTTTGAGCATTTTTGCCAGGAGTATCTTATATAGATTTCTTTACTGGAGATTTTCCTTCTGTTTCCTTATCTTCAAAATCCACCACTTTCATCATTATCATCATCATCATCTTCATCAGAAGCAAATTTTACTTTTTTCTGTGGAAACTTGCTACCACCTCCAGGGGCAGATCGTTTTCCAGATACCCTTAAGAGTTTCACATCTTCTTCCTCTTCTTCTTCTGACTCTGCATCTTCCTCCACAGCTACTAAGTGCTGTCCACTAATATGCACAGGCCTTGAACCACACTTCAACCTTAAGACCACAGGTGTTGTTATTTCAAAGCCCCCAAGGGAAACCATTGGCTGTACAGACATTTTCAGCATTGCCAGTGTTACTTTAATTAGACTGCCTTCATAATTCACTGCCTCTGCTCAACAATGTGTAATTCATCCTTTGCACCAGCCCCTAAACTGACCGTTCTTAAAGACAGCTGGTGTTCATTTTCATCATTATCCATTTTAAAGTGATAATCTTTGTAGGCCTTTAGTTCACAACCAAAAACATAGTTCTGAGTCCTCAGGGGGCTCACATCCATGTCCATCGAGTCTTCCATGGGGTGGTAGCACACCCTGGGGTGGGCAAGAAGGCGTATGGAGGTAAATGACTACCACTCCTGAAAACAGCCATGCAGGACAGAATCATTCCAGGTCCATAGTATATCTTTTTTGGAGAATGTCTTCCCATATCCTTTGACCATATTTAATTGGGTTATTTGTCTCTTTATTATTGAGTTGTAAGATCTCTTTACATTTGCTAAATATAAATTCCTTAATGGATATACGGTTCAAAAATATTTTATCCTATTTTGTGGGGTTGTCTTTTCACTTTCTCAGTAGTGTCCTTTAAAGCACAAAAATCTTTTATCTTGACGATGTCCAGTTTAACTATCATTTTCTTTTGTGACATGTGATTTTGGTGTCATATCTAAGAAGCCATGGTCTAATTCAATGTTGCAAATATTTATCCTTGTTTTCTTCTAAAAGTTACAAACTTTTAGCTCTTACATTTAGGTTTTTGATCTATTTTTAGTTCACTTTTGTATAAAGTGCAATGTAGGATTCAAACTCCATCCTTTTGCATGTGGATGTCCAGTTGTACCAGTATTATTTGTTGAAA